ACAAAATAACCAAGCCGGGTTGCTATTCCAGAGTAAACATGACAACTGAGGGAACATACAGTATCTGTCTGCATGCATGCGTGTCTACATTTGTCCTTCTCACCTGTGTTTCCTCAGGAGCATCTTCTGTTTTTTCACAGTGTTTGTCTTCCCACAGAGAAGTGTGTGTGAGTGATGTGGTAAAGCACACACACACACAGAGACATACAGTGGCATTATGCACCTGGCTGCTGCATGACAAAAGTTTATCAGAGAGTGAATCTAGTGTAAACCAACAACGCAGGTGCTGTCTATGTGTGCGTATGTGTGACATCACCTCTCCCCATGCACAGCAGCAGTGCTGTTCTGTAGTTAGACAGTATCGGTCTTTAAAACAGCAAAAAGATATTATTTAAATCTAAATTACAATAATTCACTTTATTGAATTTAAAGGCAGATCAATCCTAAGGTAAAATCTTGTTTTAAGGCAGTAAAGCAGTAAGTAAGCACCCAGTAAATCTGCATGTGCTGGCCTCCTGTGAACGTGTGATATTGGTTTCTGTTAGCCACAACCCACACTGAGTTCTTGGAATGAAATATTAAGCAGACACTGGTTTAAATATCTGCAAGAAAGATAAGCTTCTCCACAGCCAGCCACAGTTGTATTACTTGCAGGGGTCAAAGCAGCATAACATTAATGGGGATGGTTGCAAATTAGAATAGAATAGCCCTTTATTGTCATTAAACATGTACAATAAAGTTGTGGTTGCTCCACATCAACAGTGCAAAAAATATAAATAGTAAGACACCAGGAATCAATAACAAACAAGAAGAATATATGCAAAACAAGAGAAAAACACATTAAAGGACAAGTTGAAAAGTGCTTGAATGTATTGCAGAGGACTTGTTCTTTAATATTCTGAAATTCTCCCAGAATATCAAAGAAAGTATCAAAGGACACTTTGAAACATCATTATGGTTTTTGCCCACTCATGTGGATTAGTAATCTAATTGAATCCTGGAGCAAACGTAAGAAGTACATTAAGAAGAAAGAATATCATGATGACATAACAAATGTGTTATATTTAATACGTGAAAATCTGCTAATGCAATGAGACTAAAAAAAACTCTTGTACAAGCAACCAGGCAAATGTATGAAGAGTTCTAATGTGGGCCTAATCAGTTAAATTTATGCAAGCATGAACATGAAACAGGAAGGAGAAATGTGTGTGTGTGTGTGTGTGTGTGTGTGTGTGTGTGTGTGTGTGTGTGTGTGTGTGTGTGTGTGTGTGTGTGTGTGTGTGTGTTTGAGTTATTACAGGGGAAGTCCTTTTTTCTGTATTTTTTCTCTTTTTTTTTGGTGTCTTCGGGGATGCCAACCTCAGAGGAAACCCCTCCTCTGCTTGCCTCCCACGCATCCACCTACACATTGGAAACTTCTAACTAAAAAGTACACACACACACACACACGCACACACAAACAAACACACACACACACAAGGTTTAATCACCAAGGCCACCTGTAAAGGCTTTCAGATGATCTAACAGAAGTCATGTACCCAGTTACAGATTTGAGGTATCTGTATTTTACTTTAGCATTCTTACTTAACAAAACAATTACACAAGTAAGAACTTGTGTATTTTTTATGCCACCATTTATCTGACAGCAATTGTGTGCTACTAACAACATTCACCAGCTGCTTTAAAAAACAAGTGAATCAATGAGGTGGATTCTGTTTCACACACTTCAGACTAAAAGAGAGAAACTATAACCATATAGCCAAATGCAGTGGATCACCTTCATGAGCACCTAATGTATGCAACTATATATTTTGGATTACAGCATAGTTTAACACAAAACTGCTTACTGGAAACAGAACTACCTTATCAGATTTCTAGCTTCACAGAAAACATCACACGTCTGTATACAGCTACAGACAGACCACAACAACCTTTGTTGAATAGCTCACCCTTTTCTAGACTGGGTGCTATCAATCGTTTTTCACAGCACACTGCATCGTATGAAGTCATCTCGGTAAATGGTAAATGGCCTGTATTTGTATAATGCTTTACTAGTCCCTAAGGACCCCTAAGCGCTTTACACATCCAGTCATCCACCCATTCACACACTGAAGGTTAAAAGATGTTTGTGACAGATCAACACAAACTATGTTGCAAGTAGAGGTCTAAGGAGCTCAGAAAGAAAAGTGCTGGACTTCTTTAAGTTGTTTGAAGATGTTTCACTTCTCATCCGAGAAGCTTTTTCAGTTCTAGGGTCTAATGGTGGAGAGTCCCAGATTTAAGCCCTGTGGGAGTGTCCCCCCCCCAGAGGGATAATAGACCCCCTAATGATCCTCTACCTAATCACACTGCCAAGGTGTGGAAACAGGTCACAATGTAGGTCACAATCAGCCAAGGTTTCGGGTGGGCTCATTGTGAAAATGTAGAGGTAAAATACTTTTATGGACGGCATTCTTTTTTTGACGGATACTGATATAATTGATTGATAAACTGATGTTTTCCTTTGATCTAAAAGTATAGTTGTGTAGTATTTTGTCGTTAAAAATGCTTAATTTATTGTCATTTCTGTGTGACGACTTGGTTCTGGCTTAACAAACACAAAAATGACAAAGAATAACTGAAGATATTAGGGTGCTGATAATTTTTTAAAAAGCCAGACACATGCATTTACTGTGTGATAGGTAAATACACACAGACAGACACACAAACGTCACTGTTCAGAATGCAGAAAAGAAAGAAGAAGAAAAAATACCCAGCAGACACACACACACACAGACACACACACACACACAAATGGTGGTTTCAGCAGCGGAACAATGCAGGGCTCCCCGTGTGTGGGCGGATACACCCAGAACGGGATGTTCTCTTTAGTGAACATCCCCCACCCCACACCACCCCTACCAACAAACACACACCTGAATGCACAGGCACCAACTCACACGATGCACATTTCTAAATCCATAGATAACACACCACAAATCATAAACAAATTCAGTGTATGTCCAGCGTTCAGATGATTCACAAAAGCCCTAACTGGACATTTTGCTTTCACACAGAATTATTTATTACACATAAAGGTCCAAATTTAAACCTGTTTAAATTGTCACCATTTTTACAGTTTGTACTAACATTAAATTTGACTTCCACTTTTGTAAAGATAGCTATTCTATATTCTTTATTTTTCCAATAAAGGGATCAAACAATGCACATTCAGCACAAATACGGTCCTAGTTTAGATTCATTCTAAAACAGCATAGACTTCACAATTGTTGGTGACAAGGGAATTTCGGTTGTAAACTTTCATTTATTTTGCTTTGTTGTTTTGGTTTCCTCAAGCTGAATTTACACTTCCCCACATCAATAAGCAGTCTCTGCAAGAACATCTGTTTTGAATGAACTTTTTGAAATGCAATAAATGATTTAGTGACGGAGGGTGAACAGTGCACACATGGGCCTACTGCCCCCTGGTGGCTAAAAACAACCCCCTTAACCTTGATGTCATTTTCCAAGAAAAGTTTGGATGCTGCGTAAATTGCAAATAGAAACAGAATGCAGTGAACCCGTTTTTTATTCACAACAGAACATTTAAAATTTTTTTACATATCAATATGATGCATCATTTAAAAAAAATTTGCTAATTTTGATGGCAGCAATGTGTCTCAAGTAAGTTGAGACTGGGCTGTGCTTACCACTGTGTAGCTTGCCCTCGTGTTTTAACATTAATCGAAAAATGTCTGTGAATTGAGCTGTTGCTCGACTTCTAGGAGAGCAGTGTTGTCACCCCAACCGTCGCAGCAGACGGCCGCCCCTCCCTGAGCCTGATTCTGTCAGAGGTTTCTTCCTGTTAAAAGCAAGTTTTTCATTCCCACTGTCGCCAAAGTGCTTGCTCATAGGGGGTCATATGATTGATGCATTTTTCTCTGAATGTAGTATTCTAAGGTCTTTCCCTTACAATATAAAGCGCCTTGGTGACAGTTGTTGTGATTTGATGCTGTATAAATAAAGTCTTTTTCATTTCTTTATGCTCCAAATCTTTTTAGTCGGTAAAAGGGCTGAATTGAAGTAGGGAAATTCAGCACCCTGACTTTTCTACTGAGAAGCTATGCTGTTCTAATAACTGGAGTATGCAGTTTAACATTGTCTTGCTGAAATATGCAGAAAATACTGCCTAAAGATGAGGTGAAATAACAGCACCTGGATAGGACAATATGCTCTAAAATCTGCACATACCTTTCAAGCTTGATGGTGTCTTTCTATATTGCAAATGGCCATTATAGACACTGGACTGGTTTTTGAATTGAGTGCTGGCAGCTAGCCGGATGGTCCCAGTCTTCTTCTGTTCAGAGGAGGCAGCATTCATGGTTTCCAAAAAATATACATTTCAAATTTTGATGAATCTGACCACAGAACAGGCTTCCATTTGCTTAAGTGAATTTTAAATGAGTTTTGACCCAGAGATGACAGCAGTTTTTCTGGACTCTACTTTTCATTTCATGATATTTAACCTCTATTTGTGGATGCCAAAGTGAACTGTGCTCACAGACAATGATTTCTGTAAGTTTTCCTGACCCCATGTAGTGATTTCTATGCCAGAATCATGCCTGTTTGCAATGCAGTGCTGTCTCAGAGCCTAAATACAACAGACATCCAATACTGGTTTGTGGCCTTGTGCTTTGAGCACAGACATTTTTCCAGATTCGAAAAGATATGACATCAAGTATTTAAAGTCTTCACAATTTTTTTGTGTCTTCAAATTGAATGTAAGGAGCTATTTTTCATGAAACAGTAAAATGTGTCACTTTAAACATTTGATATGTTTTCTATTTTCTATTGTGAATGAAATGTGGGTTGCAAATGAATGCAATCCTGTTTTATTCACATTTTTCACAGCGTGCCAACATTTTTTGGAGGTGAAGTTGTAGAATCACAAAAAAAAAAACAACAACAACAACAACAACAATTAGGATTAGCTTACATTTTCACATTCAGCGGGTCTTCAATATAAAAACAGAAATAAAGAGACATGAGGAACTTTCATTTTTAAATTATGTTGGAAGGCACTTCTCAAGTATCATCTTTTAAAAAGCAAAATTACTTCAGACAGTTAGTAGACTATACTGTTAATTACTATAGAAAATATTTATCCAGTCATTAAAAAAACAAAACAACAACAAACAAAAAAACAAACAAACAGGAAAATGTCACTGTGAAATAACTAAAACTCTATGTTTTTTCCTTCCTGGCCACTTGCTTCTTGATCTTTAGCCCAGTCACTCATTATTATTATCTTAGTACATCCACAGACCAGCGGCACCTGTGCAGACAGTGAATAAGAAGCAAGGTTGACATGTCATAGGATGCTCTGCAGAGCTGCAGCGGCCGTGTGACTGGGGTTTAAATGTGCAGCTGAGTTCAACTTGGACCTCTGGCAGTGTCTGACTAACATGGCTGCTGCTAGGACTGCAGAGCTGAAGATAAAGGAAGCCCCACTGAGGAAGAAAGTTGCTGCATAGTTTCCCGTCCGATCAACTAACCAACCTGGAGAAATAGGAAAGAAAAAAGATAAACACATTTTTTTTAAATCCATATTTTAAAGTAGGACTTATTTTCCTCCAAAATGGCATTGTTTTACAGAGTTTATGCACAAACTTCTGCACAGTTATTTCTGAAAATATGGATGTAAAAGCATGAAGAATGAAAATTAGGTGGTGCCTTATGGCTTATGAAACAAAAACAAGTGGAGAGAGCTGCTCGTTCTTTGCAAACAGCAGATTCTAGAAGGCAAAAAAGACCTAAAAAGGTTGGTATAGAGGCTAGAACATGCATGGGGGAATAATTAGGATGAACAAACAAAGTTTGACTTTTAACTCTGCTGTAGTATATTCATGAATCCTTACCTCCAATGGGAGGGCTGAGCAGGTAGGGTATGGCATGAAGGAAGTAAACCACACCCAAAGCTGAGGTGAGATAGGTGGAGCCCACAGTGTCAGAAGTCACCACTGGTATTAGTGCTACATATGCACCATCAAAGTACCCATAGAGTATGGAAAAAGGCACGAGAAGGGAGAAGGAGCTAAGGAAAGGCATGAACATACAGCAGAGGCCTTCCATGGCCATCGCCACCGTGTAGCTCAGCATGCGAAACCTCCTAACACACCTAGAACGAATGAAATCCATCACCACTGAACTTTGAATTTAATACAACAAACTAATTATTAACTAACAAAAATACACTCCAGGTTAATACTTACCCCCTATCTGTGATCCATCCAAATGTGATATTGCCAACAATTCCACAGACTCCAAATACAGACATGAGTAAAGCAGCATGCTGAGGCTGCACCCCCAAACTGAGGGCATAAGGAACCAGGTAAACTATTGGAGGGCTGCAACCATACGCCATAAACAGGAATGACATGGACAAAATCAGGAAGCTGGGTATCAAAAGGAAGCCAAACTCCTCCCTGGACTCGAAACAAAAGCACTGACCTCTGGATGAAGGGTTTACTAAAGGATTATTGTCATTTTGTCTGGCTTCATTAAATTTTGAGTCTTCTATCTTTCCATCCATGTCTGCCAAGTTTTTGCTCAAGCTAATGCTTTCCACCAATATCAAGTCCTCGGTCGTGTTGGGTAGCTTAAGATCTGAGAATTCAATGTTGCCTAGCATTGTGTCTGTTAGTGAGTTGCTAAATAAAAAGCATTTCCCTATCTTCAGATCTATTAACTTCCGATCAGATGGCTCCAGGGTTGGAAGAAATGCTATGTTACCTAGTTTGCCCTTTTCAAGTCCAAAGTTTTTCAATGTTCTGTTTGGTATGAGGAGCCCCTGAGGACCCTTTAAGTTCTTTACATCCAGCTGCTTGTGGTCCACTTGGATACAATCAGCAGATATTTGTTCAGGGACTTTAAAATCCAGCACTGTCTTCATGCAGTTTTTCCCAAATTTTGTCAGCTTGCTCTCCCATTTCCTTCAGATGGAGTGAGAAAGATAAGAAAATGATTAGATTTCAATTTTTTAAGGATTAGGTGATCTTTTAAATCTGTGGCAAGATGGATCAGGTTTTTTTCCTAGTGTATCCTGTAGGTAGTTAATCGAATTGGGATATTTGGAATTTGGGGGTAAACAACTGTGGCTCTTTGAGCAGTTTTTGCGTCATGAGCTGCCATTTGGGTAACATTTACCAGTAGAACATTTCATTGTAATGAGATGAATAATGTTATCCATTTTACCTGTCAGTAGTTTTACTTTGGCAACATATTTCTTTCATATCCAAGTAAAATACACCAAAATACCCAAGAACTTACCTTTGACTTCCTCTTGGTTCCAGCGGCCTCATCAGGGCACCACAGACACACAAGTTGGACACAAATGCTCCAAGAATGAGCAGCGCTCCTCTCCAGGAATAATACTCTATAAGGAGCTGCACTGCAGGAGCCAGGAGGAAGGTCCCAATGCCACTGCCTAAAGATGAGGTAACATTGGATTTGATGGAATGAAATAAAACACGAAAAGAGTGAAGGGGGAATATGGGATGAGGAACTTAAAAGCAGACTGAAAAAAGCACAGAGGAACACAGTAAATACATACAGGTGGAAACGGTGAAAGGAAGAATGAACAGGTGAGGTGAGAAAAATAAAGTATCAGTGAAAAGAAAGAAAAATGAAGACAAGTAAAGATGTCACTACCAGACAGAGCAATGCCATAAGCCAGAGCTTTCCTCTCACTGAAGTACTTCCCAACCATCGCTATGGCTGGTGTGTAGCTGAGAGCAAAGCCAAGACCTGCAGAGAATGAATAAAGGGTTTTTGTAGTTTGGGAGATCTGCCATATGTTGCCAAATCTCATCAGAAGCTCTCATATGTGCCATTCTACAATCTGCTATTTACTTAGCAAATATTTTCCCCAAAGCAACTTGGTATAACAATATTTAAACTCCACAGTAAGATCATCATTAATGTTCACGGCTCATATCATTATATTTTCCCCTGTAAAAATGCTTCTGTTTTTTTCTCCTTTTTAACAAGGGAAAAAAACTGTTTCCCTTTCCCTTCAAGTGGTCACAATATAGGTCGAGGCTCCCTGAGGTTCTGTCGGTGGTATCTTTCTGTTAAATGGTTTAACCCACAAACCCTTTGAAGGCCATCTGTAGTAAAAATGTGCCAAATCAAACATGTGTAGCTACCCGCTGTAGCGACCAGTCAAAAGTAGCTTGTGTCTTTGTATATAGATGTTTGTACAGTACTGTGTCAAAGTCTTGAGCCACACATCAAATGTACAGACATGTGTGGAAATGCAGTATATAAGTAGCAGAATATGTACAACACATTCTGAACTCTCTTAGGCAAGCTTTCTTGTCATTTCTTTTAAGTAATCTTCAAGAATAGTTCTCCAGGCTTCTTGAAGGACTTTTGAAGTTCTTCTTTGGCCACCTTTTGTTTCATTCACTATGGGGCTGCCACAAACGACTATTTTGATAGTCGACTAGTCACCGATTATTTTTGCGATT